ATAGTACAACTAGCCATTAATAAAATAATATTAAATTTTAACCACATTTTGAATTCAAATATTTATCATCAAATCTCCTTATATTTCTCAGCAATTTGATATGGTTCCCTCAAATCCCGGATTCATTCAAATTTTGAACCCTTTTCGATATCCTTAAATTTAGCATGTTAATTTAAATATCCCTCCAATCGCAGATACCTCTTTGTTCCCTCGTCTGCTATAAAGCCCACCGTCTAGGAATAAAAAATGACTTTATCTCCCAAATAACACGATCGTTTGATTATTTTGTCTTCGACATGTACTTTCTTTTGTAACATAACATTTTTGTAGAGGAAACATATCACCGAAAAAATTTACACACCCCGCCGCTTTGCGCGGGTACGCTGCTAGTATGTATATATATATATATATATATATATATATATATATATATATATATATATATATATATATATATATATATAAACCGGTTCCGGCAGGTACCCAGCGGGTAGCGGTTCCGAGAAAACAAGAACCGGAACCGGAACCGCTTATGGCGGTTCCATAACTTTAGGAACCAAAACTAGAACCGCTTAAGGTGGTTCCAATTCCAAAACCGGCAGTTCCGAGGCGATTCCTGTTCCAAAAGCGGGTACCCGGTTCCAATGCTCATCCCTATGTACAATCAATTCGGTGCCTTCCCGCGACCTAAGAAGTACCTGAAACACATACCACATAACATGGTAAGCACAAAGCTTAGTGAGTTCCCCAAAATATCACACACATGTCATTAGCCTCTCATATCTATACTCGAATAAGACCCTCCGATCAATGTGTCTCAGTGAAACCCTCTGGTCCCACAACTCGGGTGGAACCTCTGGTCCTAACTCAGTAAGTTCAGAATAATACACAGCATAAATCACAAAGACATAATGCAGGATATCACAATACTCAATATAAGCACATAAGACCCTCCGGTTACATAAAGATTACCACTCTAAGTAAGTATAGTAAGAAGACTCACCTCGAAAGCAAGCAAAAAACCTCGTACACGAATCACCGATCTAGCCTCCGCCTATCACATATGATAATTATCTCTAATTAGCACTTCAATCACAACTTTAAATAAACCAAACTATTTTCTCTATCTAACTCTTGGGATGGGTAAAAGATTATGTTACCCCTCCATGGTCCCCATAATCCCTGTCTTGACCAAACCCTAAAGTCAACAAAAGTCAACACTCTAGTCAACAGCCCATGTTGACCCGACTCGCCGAGCATAGCTCATGAACTCGTCATGTATCCCATAACTCAATACATCGGGAAAACCCGAGTCAACTCACCGAGTTGCTAGCCAACTCGTCGAGTCCATACAGTGTCCAGAAGACCAGGAAAACCCCACCTACTCATCGAGTTATCCCATCACTTGTCGAGTCCACTCTGAATCCAAAGATGGGTAAAACCCCTTTGAACTCGTCGAGTTGTCTCGTCAGCTCGCCGAGTTTGCAATGCGTCCAAACCATCAAGGTAACCCTAACCAACTCGTCGAGTTGTCTTGTAACACCCACAAAATTCATGCCAAATTTGAACCTTTAAAAACATTTCAAAACCATTAAATCATTACAAACTTGTTTTCAAAATGTATCATACCAGAGTTTTACCATAAACATAAAAAAAACAGGAGAAGTTGTACGATCACGCCTTTGCCTTACCGCGATCCCCTGAAGTACCTGAAACAATAAACTGAAACTGTAAGCCCGAAAGCTTAGTTAGTTACCCCCAAAATACCAACTCCTATAACCATAATCATATCATATCAACGAATACAGAACAACATGCATAATGATCCTTCAGCCTAAATGGACTACCTCGCAAGCCCTACAACCTATTTGGACCGCTCTCGAGCCTTCCGCATGACTGGACCACCTCACAGGGCCTACAGCCTATCCGGACCGCTCGCCGAGTATGTTGGCATACAGCACATAGCAGGACCGCCTCAATCCAACCCCCAACCAAACAAACATGTACATATAAATATCATAGGCTAGCTCATATCATATAACAGTCAAACCGATCTAACAGATCACTAATCATGGCCACATCCCAATAACTGGGATAGAGACCTAACCGATCACTAACATAGCATTATCCTATAACCAGGACACTGACCTAACCAGGCCACTAAGCATAAGCATATCACCATCCTAACTACCAAGATGTGATCAATAAACATATCATGCTATAACCGAATACAATCCATAAAGGGCCAGCCTTGGTGCCTTAGACCCATTGATATAGTGAGGATAACTCACCTCACACTGCCGACTCGAAGATAAACTTAAACTCTCAGATCGCCGGCACAACTCCACCACCTATATTCACCATAGAACCATGCTTGTAAATTTCCAATTTCCTAAAATGTCCCCAGAAGTCAACTGGTCAACCCTTGGTCAAAGTCAAAATCATCGGTCAAGGTCAACAGTCCATGTTGACCTCAACTCTTCGAGCACCCTCAGCTACTCACCGAGTTCCTTGCATAACTCGCCAACTCGCTGAGTCACTAGAGTGACTCATCGAGTTCCTAAGGTTTGCGGTTGTAAACTCCTTGGCCGACTCATCGAGTTTCCATTGTCACTCGCCATGTCCATACGTATCCAAAGGTTGGGAAAACCCTAGCCGAATCACCGAGTCACTCATCAGACTCGCCGAGCCCTCGACAATCTTCATCGGACTCACCGAGTTGACCATGCAACTCGTCGAGTCCCTTCAGTCCTTCATCCAAACATATGCTTTTTAATCCATGCTAAGGTTCCATATTGTAGATCCAGCTTCCCAAGGCACGTGTATCACGTAAAGTTGCAAACTTTACGTGCATGCAAAGCTCTAAAGTCTTAAAAATGACAAAACCAAGCTTGCAAAGAAGTCTTTCACTTGAGGGGAGGTTCATACTTGCCAAAGCTAACAACTTTATGGACTTAGAGACCCAAGAGAGTTCAGATCGGAAGTTGCTACTTCAGATCTTAGCTCAAACACAAGAAAGGCTTCCTAGAATCCACCCAAATAAGATCTAGAATGAAATGAGGCCAGGATAACAACTTAATACCTTCCAAAGGATTCCAACTGAGGTAGATCTATGATTCCCACACGTTCCTTGCTTCTAGTTACTATTTCCCCAAGCTTTTCTCACCAAAAATCCTTCTTCAAAGCTTAAGACACACAAATGGAGCACACTCACACGAGTTAGGGTTATTGAGTATCAAGAAGCTGTGAATGGGAGGCTGGGGAGAGCAATAATCCTTCAAATAGGGTGCAAAACCCTGGGGATTAGGGTTTCATCCTCCAGCTCCTACTTTTCGAGTCCCTACTTGGACATGGCGAGTGGGTCACTTAAACACGTGGACCAACCCAATGCTACTCGATGAGTCGGGCAACCAACTCGTCGAGTAGACCTTGAAATCAAGAAAAATCTTATATAAGAAATCAATACCTGAGAATCGGGGCGTTACATGTCTCATCAACTCGTCGAGTCCCTTAAGTCTATTTTCTCATTCAGACGATTTGGACAGAAATAAGGTCACATACTCTGGATCTAGCCTCCTAAGGCTGAATCATCATGTAAAGTTGCAAGCCTTACGTTCATGCATGGCATATAGGGCTCAAAATGCTAAAACACACTCCATAAAGGTCTTTATGCTTGAATACTTGCCCAAAGCTTAATAACTCTCGAATCTTTGGGCTCATAGGGACTCATATAGCTTAGATTTGTAGTCTCCACTCCCATGACCAGCTCAACAACTCCAAACCAAAAGATAGATGGGATAAAGCCCTAAAACTCTCTAGAAAGACATCTAACAAAAGGAATGATCAAGGAGATAGCTTTTTACCTCCAATTGACAGCTAGCACTGAAAGAACACTGGACCTAAAGCTTCTTCTCGTTCCAAACCTTCTTGCTCTTCATTCCTCTTCTAAAAATGCACTTGAACACAAGATCTTTAGCCTTTCTCTCTCTTACAACGACTACAGCTCGTCTAGGGTTTCTCTTAGTGTGTCTAAATGGTTAGGGAGGTGGAAATGAGGGCTTAAGGGCCTTTAAGTAGGGTGCAAGCCCTAAAATTAGGGTTTTCTCAATACAGACTCAACTCGTTGAGTCCAGCTCCTCGACTCGACGATAGGCTTCAAAACACGCGCAACCAGCTCAGCTCCTACACGACGAGTTAGGACCAACCAACTCGTCGAGTAGGTCCTACAATGTGCATTATAACTCTCCAGTTTCACATCCAAAATTCGAGGTGTTATAAAAACAAGAAGATTGTGTTCTCCACTATGACAATCAAAGTGCAGTGCATCTCGTGAAAAATCTGGTGTTTCACAACCAAACAAAACACATAAAGACGCGATATCATTTCATTGGTACAAAGAATCCAGTTGTTATGTTTACGAAAGTAGTACCAACTGATAAGTTAGAGTTGTGCATGGTTTCAACTGGGCTTTTAGGAACTTGAAGATGAGGCGGGGACGAGAGAGAGAGAGAGAGAGAGAGAGAGAGAGGGTGTTACAGAGGATACGGACTTGCTTGGCAGCTGAATGATCAAGCCTCCAAGTGGGAGATTGTTAGATCTGAAGATTTATCATCAGATCTGGAATTTTAAAAACTGTAAATATTTTGTACTTTTTTTGTGTTTTTTTCAGTCAGGCTTGGCCTTTTAGGTTTAGGTCAGATTTTCTCGTTTATATATTTACAAACGGCCATATCTGTAACATTATAGTTGAAAAGCGTGTGTAGAATAAAATCTCTCTCTGAGTCGACAGTGGACGTAGCTCATCGCAAGATAGTGTGAACCACTTAAATCTTTGTGTTTTGTGTACTTTGATTTCATTTATGATCTCTCTTATTTCTCAAATCTGTTTTCATTTATTGTTTTCTTCTATACCTAACAACTAATAGCGTCACCATTAAAGACGTTGCCACTAAAACTCAACTGTCACTTTTGGTTTATTATCTTATAAAAGAAACAATGTGCAGAAAACAACGAATATATGGACGTACTTCTTCACCCCATTTAAGTGTTTAACTCGTCACCCATACAACACCAAATGGAATAAAAAAACAACATATGCGCACTTTGCTATTTCGATCGAAACCGCAACTCGAATCTCTCAACAGCATGTTGACAATATCTGGAGGATGCCTTTTTTACTAAAAGAGGGATATGATTCAAATGCCCTAGTCCACCACTCGAACTCCTATAAGGCTATAACTACGCATATCTCGCTGCCTCGAACACAGATTCTCTTTCTTTCTACACTTTTAGAGAAGGAATCACAGGAATACATCAGAAAAGGAGAAAATTATAAATCGAGAAAGATGGCAGCCGGCAATGGCACCGGCGATCGCATCAAGCCACCAACACTGGTACCCTTGTTGGAAACTTCACCACCAAACATCGACTTGGATTCGAAAACCCCTGACCAGGACCTCGAACTCTCGTTCCAACAACGGTTCTTCATCGAATCCAAAAAGCTATGGCACATAGTCGGCCCCACCATCTTCAGCCGTATATCCGCCTACACCATGCTGGTCATCACCCAAGCCTTCGCCGGCCATCTTGGCGATCTGGAGCTCGCCGCCGTCTCCATTGCCACCAATGTTATCGTCGGCTTTGACATCGGCCTCTTGGTATGTACACAACTTATTATAACCCAGCAAACAAGTTCAGTTGATTTCTCTGATTCTAAATATGTTTTCATTTGGTTTAATTTCCAGTTGGGTATGGCAAGTGCTTTAGAGACTTTATGTGGCCAAGCATATGGAGCCAAAAACTATCGAATGTTGGGAGTGTATCTACAACGCTCATGGATCGTACTTTTCATATGTTGTATACTCCTTCTCCCCTTATACATCTTCGCTTCACCGGTGCTGAAACTCATGGGACAACCGTACGACATATCTGAGCTCTCCGGTAGGATGTGCATGAGTTTGATACCACTCCATTTCAGCCTTTGCTTTCAGTTCACACTACAAAGGTTTCTTCAGTGTCAGCTTAAGACGCATGTCATTGCATATGTATCAATGGGGACACTGGTGCTTCATTCGGTGTTGAGTTGGCTGGTTGTGTATAGATTTCAGCTGGGGTTGTTTTGGACGGTGGTTATGCTTAATTTCTCGTGGTGGCTGATTGTTTTGGGGATGTTCTGTTACTCTGTGTTCGGTGGTTGCCCGGAAACTTGGGGTGGGTTTTCCATGGAAGCGTTTAATGGATTATGGTCGTTTTTCAAACTCTCCGCTGCTTCCGGCGTCATGTTGTGGTAATCAATTAACATATGTTTTTCTGTTGATCATGCTATAAAGACTTCATATTTATTTCATACGAATGTCTTTTTTTGGAAATTGCAGTTTGGAAAACTGGTACTACAGGATTTTGATCGTGATTACAGGCAACTTGGAGGACGCAAAGATTGCTGTGGATGCTTTGTCAATATGGTAATAATATAATATAATAATCTGATACTATATAATTGTTGTGGTCCACATTTCTTTATTCATGTTTTTACATGTGGTTGTCTGTTTTTGTTCTTGGTATTAATTATATATTTCTGAATATTATTTTCTTATGTTAAAATACAAAAACAGAATTGGCATCTTGCCTTTTGCGATACAAACTGCTTGCGAGTTGGGAGAATCAAGATATTACAATTTTTGTCATTGGCCACCAATTGCATAATACCGTTGCCTTTGCTTAATTATATTTTTTTTTTATCTTTAAAGTGTTTCTTTTTGGAAAAATATAAAATATATTAATAAATAAATTGACACAGAAAAACCGTTAGTTGAAGATATAATATATATTCCGAGTCATTTCTAAAGGAACCACACAATAATGTTACCGCTTTATTCGAAGGAATTAAAAGTACGGTCAAATTTAATTAATTGTATAATTTATGATGCGAATAACGTTAAATAATAGTTTTGGAGTTCTAGTTTTAAAAGCAATAATGTTGTCCCATTAATATATTTTGTAAGAAAATATATTATATTTTCAGCTAATGGGTACGTTAATAGTTAATTAACAGAAATACGTAAAATTAAAAAAATAATTAAAAAAAAAAAAGTTGTAAATTAAGCTAGCTATCTAAGTGTGCTTGTATGTGTGCGTATAATTGTGTGCATGCGCTTCAATATAAAAACGGATAATAGATGTATGTATTAATGAGAATCTTGTAAATATTGAACAATACTAAAGTTTTAATTATTACTACCTATTTTGATCATGACCAATATATAATATCTATATGCGTTTTTTTTTTTTTTTCTGTAGCATGTCTATCAATGGTTTGGAACTCATGATCCCTCTTGGATTCTTTGCTGGAACAGGGTAGGTTTCTTAATATATATATATTGATTCAAAACATATATTCTCTTTGCAGAAAAACGAATTTGAAAGGGAAACTTTCTCCTAAAAAGATCTTCTAACAAAAGGAACCTGCCCATCTGTTAACAAGCAAATAGAAGACCCAACTTTCTTCTCTGGGATGAAATATAATTAATAAATCCCGGAGTTTATTGAATCGATTCCTTCACAAATCACAAATATATATATCCAGGAAAAACCAAATTTGTGTAATTTGAAAAGGAACTTTAAAGATTAAATATTCTTGAGATGTAATACTTAATTAATTTGTGATCACGTGATTCAGAGTAAGGGTTGCAAACGAGTTAGGAGCAGGAAACGGGAAAGGTGCTAGATTTGCCACCATAGTTTCCGTTACAACATCTGCAGTGATTGGTGTCTTCTTCTGGATCTTGATCATGTTATTCCACAATGAGCTTGCATTAATATTCACCACCAGTGAACCTGTGTTGCATGCCGTAAGTAAACTTTCAGTCCTATTGGCCTTCACCATTCTCCTCAATAGCATTCAACCCGTTCTTTCAGGTGAACCCATCCTCGTTTTGAATCTATATTACTTGAGAACCAATATACATTCATTGAAAGTATTAATGGAGATAATATGTTTCCAATATTAATTATCTCCAATAGATATATATATATATATATATATATATATATATATATATATATATATATATATATATATATACTCAATCCATTTGATCTGATATATAGGTGTTGCGGTTGGTTCCGGATGGCAGGCATATGTAGCATACATAAACTTAGGTTGCTACTACTTGATAGGTGTCCCCATGGGAGTTGCCATGGGGTGGTTTTTCCATCTTGGCGTCATGGTATGTACACATTTAACATTTTCTTTTATTTAGGTTATCTTTATTACATTTGACTATATTGGACAAACTTTTTTTTTTTGGCTATTTTCAATAATGATGATGAGAAGGGCATCATGTCTTGATCATCATAAAGAGATCAAGAGCGAGTTTAGGACAGAAAATTGCAATTTTTGTTTCGTTGGCATTGGTTTAATTGCATGATAATCTAATGTATGTCGAATATTGTCTATCTTTTCTTTGTGTTTATGAAAGATTTAAGAAGTGTATTGCTTAGGGTATTTGGGCTGGAATGATCTTTGGAGGGACTGCTGTTCAAACAGTCATATTGGCTATCATTACAAGTCGTTGTGATTGGGAAAAAGAGGTAAGCTACACCTAACTTTGTTAAAAATATTCAAAATCAATACTTCTAGATCAGATTAAGTATGTGTTACAAAACTTTCAGGAACAAAGAGCAAGAATGCATTTGAAGAAATGGGCAGTTGCTAATTGACCATGCATGAAAAGTTCTTATCCCTCTTAAAATTTGGTACTATTGGTCTCTTTCTTCATTACATTTGCTTTTGAGGAAATGTAATTAACTAATCCATATGAAATTTTGCTCACATCCCAAAAGCTGTTTGGTTGTTTGGTTTTATCATTTTCTTTCATCTGTTTGTGATGATACCAGATTCTGGTGCGGAGAATGGTTTGATTGTGCTGTTGAAGAATTATGGAAATAAATATTACAGAATTGAAGTAATCAAACAAAAACCAAGAGAAATGCCAGAGAATTCAATGCTACAAATTTTATGACCCAATTGTAATTTTCTTATGTATTTGTCAAAAATAATTCTTCCATTTACACTACTACAGAACCAATAAGAGAATACTGTTGAAATTGGTAATATGCATTATAAGACTAAGAAATTCTCAAAAAAAAAAAAAAAAAAGGTAGGGTGAAGTTTTGTGGGTGAGCCGCCATTGTTGAGTACGATTATGCAGCTAGGGTAGATCCATCAGGCTCCATCAACCATAAATTTACAACGTAAACAGTCCCTTTAAATATCTTTAAGAGTATTCATGCATTATCATATATCCTCTTTAGCATATACTAATCACATAATAATCATATGATGCAAAAGAAAGTTCACTTATTGCAATGTTTAAGCGTAGTAATTAACTAACAAAGACAACATGGTTGTATGGAGGACTTTCTTTGTTTTGATGACAACACGTAAACAGGGGAATAACAGCGGAAAACAATGAAAGGAAAAAGTGCTATATTGCACTGTCAAATTTCAAACTAGCTTTTTAATTGTCTACTTATATTGGAAGGAAAGCATTAAAAAACGAAGCAAACTTTTGAGTTTATCTCTACCAAAAAAACAGGGAAAAAGATAAAGACAAAAAATAAAATTAAGACAATTCCAACTCATTGAAACTTCTGGATTACTCCAACCAACATTATAAAAACGAGCATTAAATATTATTATAGAAATATAGGAAATTACATTTGGATGATAAAAGAATGTTGTTGGAGTGGTAAAAACCTGCCAATGAAAAAAAATAAAACATACGATTGCCATAGTGGTGAGTCAGGAGTCCTGGAAACCAGGTTATCAATCACAAAAGAAGGATATTTGTGCCAAAGTGAGCTATATAGTTATTTTACATAGAACTGAGTGACCAAAATTGCAACCCGATTCTTTTATGGACCAAAACTGAAAAAATTAGTTAAACCATTGGACCAAAAATGTAATGTTATCAAAGGTACTCATTTTCTTATGCCAAAGGTCTTCACCATTCATATAGTTATAAATTGATACAACTATCTCACAGTCATCAACCCTACTATCAAAAAAAAAATCCACCATTTTCAACATATGATTTTGACAAGTCAGTATAGTCAAATCAACAAATCCAAAACAGCTCAAAAAACTATACACCTGTTAATATAAAAGGAAAACAAAACATATTGATGTAAGGACATGACAACATTGTACAAAGATGAGTTTTTTTCATTGTGTCTGTTTCTCTTCAGACGCCGAGTTGGGTTGACTTTCTGGTCGCAAACCTGTTTGACCATTTGCAGAGTTGTGTTCCCCCTGCTGCTGCTGATCATCTATTTTGATATTGGAATTAAATGGTCTCTCAAAATTTCTAGCAGTTCCCGGATCAATTACCAAATTGTTGAACTTTTGATCCTGCAAATACATAATATTTATACATCAAACGATAATTACCAAATTGTGTATTATTTATGTCACTTTGATACACGACATGTCATAACACTTTCTTTATATAGCGAAAACTAAACTCTAAAGATTCTATAATTAAATTTCGTATAAATTTATTCAACCATAAAGTAACAATTTAGAGTATGCTGTATGCATTATCTTAAAAACAATTTAGTTAAATGCATGAAATAACAATGTACTTTCACATACTTATGTATTACTACCTCCATTCCATATTTATTGTCCACTTTTGACTTTTGAAGTCTTTAATCTTCAACTTTGACCTTAAATATTTTTGTTTTATGATAAATAATACTTGATGCAAAATATATGAATGGATTGTGCTTTAAATGTCTTTTCATTGTTATAAGTTTCATCAAGTAATTTATTTTACAAATAAAAATATTTAAGCTCAAACCTGAAGAATAAAGACTTCAAAAGTCAAAAATAGACAATAAATATGGAACAGAGGGAGTATAAGTTGTAACATCCTACTTTCAATTTTCCATTTCTTTCTTCTACAGCATTGTAATTTTAATTTTATTTTTTTATGAAGGCATTGTACTTTGAAAAGCTACTCAATTAAAGCATTCTGCTTTCAATTTTTTTTCTTATTATAGCAACAAAACTTGTTTTGTATCTTTTTGAAAATACAGTGTGATAGTAAGAAGAAATGAACAAAGGATGCTACAATTCTATTTCTTGCATTTAACCCTGCACTATAATAATAATTATAATAAAAATAGGATCAAATGTGTATTTATGCAACAGATTTTCATCTTTATCCCAATTTATCAGGAACATGTTTCTTTATAGAGTAAATTACATGAATGGTCCCTATGGTTTTAGGTTCCCTATCTTACCTAAAAACTATTTTTCCCTTGATTTTTTAATTTATTTAAATAAACACACTCACAACCCCACCACCCTCACCTTACCTTACCTACCCCACCATTTTTCCCTATTTAAATAATAGTCTTTTTAGATAAGACAGGGACCAAACGCATAATAAAAACAAACAGTAGGGACTTTCCGAGTTTAAAAAAAAAAAATAAGTTAGGGACCAAACGTGCAAATTACCCCAAACCATAGGGACCATTCGTGTAATTTACTCTAAAATAAAATAAAACATTTGTTCCACAAATTGGTAAAAAGGGTAAAACATTGTTGCATAGATTGGTAAAAAAAAAAAAAAAGGGAACCTTTTTGGGTGAGACAAAAAGCTGCAATTTTTGTCTCATTGACATAAGGTCAAACATAGTACAACCTGTTGTATCTATCATGTTAAAGGTAAAGAATCACTTACACCTTGCAAAGCTTCAAGTTTTTTCTGCAAGGCCTCATGTTCAGCCTGAATACGAAATGGGACCCCATGTTTTTGATAAACATTATTTTGAGCCAAATCTTCAGTAATGTCACTAATAGTTGTTGCAAATGGATGATTTGCTGGAATCCATCTAACCGTATCCGGGTCCACGTCAGCAGGCACCGGGTCCCCTTCTTTAAGGAATATTGTTGGCCTTTTCCATTGATACGCCCTTGACCTCCTTTTTTGATGTATGTTTTGTTCTTCTCGTGTCAAAGTCACAGGGGCTAAACGGTAAACTTTTCCACACATTTCAACTGACGAATTGTTCTTGCTAATTTTTACTAACGGGTTGTTAAATGGATCGTCATACATGGGTGTCTTTGATCTGTAAAAACACACACAGGATTCGTTAATGTCAGTAAATAGCTATCTACTTTTTTTATTTTGTCCATCAATGAAGGTGCTGACATGGCATCCACATGTACACTGTTATGCATCCACTATATAAAAAGGAGACGTGAAAGACCAGAATCCAGGCTTGTTAGTTTAATAAAACAAAAATACAGTTAGCTTGATAATACCTACAATCTCAAAAAATGAGATCATTTATTAATGTAATGAATTTTTTACCATAAAATAGTACAAAAATGATTTCTTTATTAATTGTACAACGAGCTAGGATGTACAAAAAAACGTATGTTGCTATTAGGTGACCTTATCCCATATGTACATGCTAAGCTTCATATTACAGTTGAAATAACAATAAATAATAAATACTCTTGTTTCAAGAAAATTGCAGAAATTCCATCTATGGACTCTCAAGAAACTCGCAACATTCGATCATTTGGCAAGTTTTCAGATCATCAATTACTTATCATCCATTTGAAGTATCACAAACAACTATTGCTTTGCTAATGTTCTTAAACCACAAAATTTCACTATCTTTAGGTACTAAAGGGTATATTGGACATTTTGTAATGTATTATAGACAAGTTTATAGCAAATAATGGAAAATGACGAAAGGGGTTGGAGTCATACATGCCTCTTCTATCAGAATTTAGTTGGCCACGTCTGACAAGATCAGCAACTGATCCCTGGCGTTGGTACTTTGGCTTTCTTGCCACATAAGCTCTCACTGCAACAATCAATACAGTTGCTGCTATACAAAACCCCAATGCAAATTTGGAATGAGGAGACCTTTTTATCTGTAAAAAAAAGTGAAAGAGAATAACTGATTATCAAATAGTAGAGGAAGATAGCTTAAGTTCAATAACATTAGTTTAATATAGTTAAAAATGTGATTAGATTTGAAGAACATACCGAAAAAATAATGGGAGGGAGGGATACGATTGTTTCTTGTAGTCTTGAAACTTGGTTTTGTAGGACCCACATGGCATTGCTTTTTGTTTTGCTGATGATTGTTTCATCTTTGATTTGATTATCTTCATTGGATGAGGCTTTAAGAAAGAAATCTTTACGTTTGTTCTTCCCTTTCAAAATTCGGTACCTTTTGGTGAACCCTAGTTGTGGTCTAACTTCAAATGCATATGTTGAAACTTGATGCTTCAAGAACACAATAATTGGAAGAATTAAAAATGGAGTTTACATTGTTCAATAATTTGCTTGTATTGAAGGAGGAAAAAAAAAAAAAAAAAAAAAGCAGAGTCCAAAATGAAGAATATCCAGTCCATACGCAATTGCCCAAATGATGATACTCAAATTTTACACAAATATAAACAAAAAAGCAGCCTAATAGCATGAAACATCGACTCACTTATCGATATCGAAAGAACCCACATGAGAATAAGCTCGTTCGTTAACTTATTCACGAAAATCGACAATGCCCACATAGAACAAGATTGAATTTTTGTAGAATATACATACCGGAATCGAAGTAGGATGCAATTGCAGAGTCCAAAATGAAGCCATTTCAGTCACTAAAGTATAATCCCATGGTGGAAATAGAATCTAGGGTTTCAAGGTTTGAAAAAATCGATTTAGGGTAAATATTCAAGGATACCTATTCAGTAATTTTGTTTGTATTGTGAAGTGTCGACTATTGAAAGTCGATGAGGTATGTTGGCTGCAATGAGAACCGCAATTCATGAAATTTTACAAGGACTCCGACATTATAAAAATTGAATAAATATAATATTCAGTAGGGTAAATAGCACAAAATGCTAAAAGTCATAAAAAGTGTTGGGTTGAAAGCAAAACCCAAAAGTTATTTTTAAAAAGTGTTTGGGTTGTATTTCTTGATTTTTAAGTATAATTTAGCTTTAAATGCTAAAAGTCACAAAAAATCGCACTTTCATGATTTTTAAAAACCAACATTTTTTTACAACCCGAAATTTTCAATCTTGTACAGTCAAACACTTCATTAAAAATCAAACTCATTCCTGCT